CTTCTGTCTTTTAAATTAATCATAAATTATAAACACAATACTTGTAGGCTTACCATGCCCTTTATTAAATAAGTCAAATCACTAACTAGTAATCTTCTCCAAAACAAAACACCAGGCCCACATGGTTTCACTGAATTGGGCCAAGTGTTTAAGGAGGAAATGATATTAACTCCCTACAGTAGCGTCTGGAAAATAGAGGTAGAGGGAACCCGTCCTAACTCTGCGATGCCAGCGTTATCCTAATGTTCAAAACAAATTTCACAAGAAAATAACAATCTATAGACCAAGAAAAATCTATAAACCCCTCATAAACAGATTTGTCAATAATATAGCATGTAAATTGTTTGTTGCTTTCTCAAAGACTGAATTCTGCTTCACTTTGTTTCTTTTTCATGACGATGTGTTCTTCTCAAGCCAATTGAAATTTAAGAGTTAGGCACAGGACTTTCTTCAGTTATGAGTTAAGTCATGTATTATGTGACCCAGAATGTCACAGCAGGGAATTCCTCTAACCTTCTGTCCTATCAGGCCTGAGAAAACACGCAAAAGGCTGAACATTCTACTACACATATGAAAATAATTAAGACTATAAACACTTTCTTTTTTAGCTGAGATCATTTGTTTTAGGGAGCTTATTGCTGAATACAAATTAGAAGTGGGTCTCTCCTCCTGCTAAAGGTCAAAGGCAAATTCAAGCCCTCCATCCCTTAGGATGACTCATTTATAAGGATAAATCACAAAAAAGAGTATCTTGGGATACTTATAATTAGGTATGGGTTATAACTCTATTCATATATGAGATACACGTATGATTTACATATAATTTTATCACCTTCTGGCATACCATATTTTAGCATATTTATTAATTATTGCCATACTTCTAAATTCTTAGCACTCAACTTATTTAACCTTCCTACTTGGTCACTTAAGTTGAATATTGGCCTCTTTGATTCAAATCATTTTTTAAAAATCATATTTAGAACAGGGTCTACAGGGTCTCACTACACAGATCAGACTTGGAGTGATCCTCCTGTTTTCAGCCTCCAAAGCACTGGGGTTACAGGTGCATGCCACCACGCCCAATCTCAATCACTGGCTCAGCGCCCCTTGGGGGCAGGGCTGGTATGGCAGGTGGGGGATTAGGAACTCCCAGCCCCTATGTCTGCCTAAGCAGGTGCTTTAATCCGCTGAGCTATCTGGCCAGCCCTTTGACTCAAATCATTCAAAACACATTCATAGAGTTGCTCAACTTTACATCTCTTTTCTTCATATTGTGAACTTATTTCTACATATTTTATAATAAACAATAACAAAATAGGAATATTTCTTGGCTCTTACTCTGGAATATGCACATTTAAAATTTGTCATTATAACTAATATCAAGTACTAGAGAGGGAACACACTATTTGCACATAATAGTGTAATTTATATTTATGTCCACACAATAGTATAATGTATATTTATGTACACGCACATATATATAGTAAATTATTTGCTCTGCCTATTATTGAAATAGCCATTTTTTGATAATTAGCCTTGATAGACTTTAGAAATCATGAATATAAGTGAAAAATCTTGAACAGTAAACAACTTCCTTTTCTTTATGTAATTGGTTCCTCCTAAATGATCTTGCTCTTACATTTCCTTAATTTTCTCTTTTTTTTGACCAGTCACTATCAGCCCAAGAACACTCATGTCAGAGGGGCAAGAGAAGATGATAATGGTAGATGTATGGAGAGGGAATGGGTACCTTGACCTACAGGTTGTATCATTAGCAACCTTCATCATTTTTTTGTCGTCTACATGCAAATCCTGTGATTTCATGATACTTGTAATTATCCTTATTTACCAAAGTTCTGAATTTTCTCACATTTTAGAAATTTATTCCTTTCTTCTCTTTGATTATTTAAACACTAATTCCTTATGTAATCTCTACTATCCTGTTAAAATATTAGGATTATGAAGTTAATCACATTTATGATTGTCTTACAATAAAATTAGTTTATTTTTAAAAGTAACCTATTTAAAAACTATCAGTCATGTAAACTCAGTAAAGTCATTAAATGCTCACATTTCTGTACTGATATGTACATGGAAATTTCTAAAACTTAGTCTTGCTTTTAAGGAACTCATGGTTTAGTAGAAATGCATGATATGCTTAACTTTTCCAAGGAAAATATTAATTTTGATGATCATTTTGTAGGCTGGGAGGTAGCTTGGTGGTCTAAGCACCTGTCTGGCAAGTGCAAGAACCCATGCTCCAACTCCAGCGCTGCATGCTGTGCTGTCCCTGCCCTGGGCACGAGAACTGCCACTGAAACCAGGTGTCGTTTCCCCTGCCTGTAATCCCAGTGCTACGGAGGCTAAGACAAGATCACTATAAGTCTGAGCTACATAGTGCTACCCTGTACCAAATAAATAAAAGATTTAGAAGACGTGCAACACTCTGAAGAGGCTACCGTGGGTAGTGAAGCTTTTCTTTGTGTGTGTGTGTGTGTGTGTGTGTGTGTGTGTGTGTCTGTGTGTGTGTGTGTGTTATCAAAGATCCAACTCATGACCTTGCACTTGCCAGGGGGGTGATTATGCTGCTGAGCTATGTCCCCTACCCTAGATTTCATTTTATACCACACCCATCTTGCATGTTTCAAGGCAGAAATTCTGAATTACCCAAACAACCAAGAATAAATTGATTGGTGCCTCCACACCTTCGCATATGCTATAATCTCTGTATCTAATGCTCCCACGCTTCTTGCATAATTCCTTTTATTCTTCAAAGGTCAATTCTACGGTGTACACTTGGTTATCCCCTTTCATTAATCCCTGTGTGTTTAAAAGCCAAATCTCTGTTTTGTATCAAGGGTAGCAATCTTCCCTGTATCAGTCTCTCAGCCCCTACATGTCAAAGGTAGGAATTACTTCCAAGTGAGCTCAATAGACAAAAATCAAAAGAAATTATTGAAAACCAAATAGTTTTTGCCTTTTTAAAGAGTTGAAAGTGAAATCTTTTTAATATCTTTGGTTTATTTTTTGTGGTTTGTAAATGACTGTATAACATTGTAATTTAGTATTTGTCTCTATTTGCCTTTATTCTAGGTTGTCTCTGCGTGTGTGTGTGTGTGTGTGTGTGTGTGTGTGTGTATGTGTGTGTGTGTGTGTAACTGGGGCTTGAATTCAGGCCCTTGAGCTTGCCAGGGAAGCGCTTATTCTACTGAGCCATCTCCCTGGTCCCTGTCTGCTTTTGATTCTTTTTGACATTTCTTCCTACACGTCATTATGTCAAACTTCTAGTTTTCTGTTTGTTTGTCTGTTTTCTATTTTGTTTTGTTTTTCTGGTATCAGTGCATTTACTTTTAGTAACACCCTTCTTTCTATCACTTCCTTCAGATGACCACATTGTTATTTCTGGGCTAAGAATATAGAGATCTAAGTTTATGAGAATAATGTAAGCAGAGGATCTGTGGAGGTCTTACAAGCTGGTCAAGTTTAGTGCACAAAGGGCACAGTAGTTTTGGATTATTGCTTTTGGTCTATTTCACTTTCTTGTTTACAACTAGGTGTTTGAGAGATGTAGCACTCTACCATTTTAGTGCAATCTTTTTTTTTTTTTTTTTTTTGATACAGCAATCCTCCTGTCTCAGTCTCCCGAGCACTGGGATGACAGGTGTGTGCTACCATGTCAAGTTTTGGGGCCAGCGCGCCATGCGATACCAAGGATCAAACTTTGGACCTTGCCAGGCAGGCACTTAAACTGCCAAGTTGTCGCCCCAGCCCTGAGATCTTTTCCTGAATTTAATGCTACTCATTTTACCTTTAATGCTTGGTTACATAAAACAAAAAAATGGATCTTAATGCCTAACATGTTCTTTGAAATTGATAAATTAACATATATTTACAAATTAAAATACTGATATGAGTAATAGTTTCCTTGTAAAATACTCATAATTTAAACTATTTTAATTCTAGATTAGCAAAATTTTAGAACATTTTATTCTTTTAAAAATTTATATAATATCAATTTTTAAATCAATTTATACATAAAAGAGCTAAACACATGGTTTAGCTCAATCTTCACAACCTTAAAGGTAAATATTTTCTATGTTATAGAGGAGAAACTAGATTTAGAAATGAAAATATGATTTTACGGAAAGTTCAGGAGCTATATATTAATCAGATTAGGGAAGCTCACTTTCCTATATTTACAGCTCTCTAGTTATGGCTTGTCTACTATTTAATTACTTTTTGTAACGTCTTTTTTGAAACATAATTCATGTAAGATACAAATAGCCTTCTAGTTGTCATATACCTCTGCCTCAGCCTGAGGTAATTACTAATCTACTCTGTGTCCCTGTGTTGCTGCCACAGTGAAATGTACCATTTCTAGTCTTTTTTACTTTATTTCATATGACATATTTGCTTGCAGGTTCATTGTGCTGTGCCATCTATCAATATTGTAAAATATTTATACCTCTGAGGTATGGTCAGAGGAGAAAAACACAAAAATTTTGAAAACTACGGTCTAATTCTAGCTTTAGTAGTAATTCTACATTCACTGAAGATTTGAGAAAATATCCTTTAACAATATTTTTCTCTCCTTCAGGTGTCATGGCCTAAGATTGGATGCAGAAACGGTCATTACAATTAAAACTCCACACCTGAGCCGGGACATACACTCAGCATTTAATTCATTTTAACTGTCACTTTTTTTGAGTTTACTCTAAAATTTAGATCATTTCAAAATGCATTGATAGGTTGCTTATCCTTGTAAAAGAGCCAGCGAGCGCCAGGGTGTCACCTGACACCTCAGATTGACATCTGCGCCTGCGCAGGAAAAAAAAAAGCCCGGATGGAAGACTAGGTGACGCCGTTGCCATGGTAGCGCTGGGGGTCTCCTTCGCCTCCGAATGAGAGCTTATAAAGAGGAGGGGAGAAGAGCTCCCCCGGCCATCTCTGTGACCCCAGCCGTCGCATCTCACACAGGCAGGAGAGGGTTTAGAGGGAGAGAAGGGAAGGATGTTGCGGAAATGTTTGTGGGGGGAGAGGGTCGAGGGACGCGTGTCCGGTGTGAGGATCAGATTCAGGATCCACAGAGCCCAGTTTTCTCCTTTGCCCTCCGGGCTTCGCTGTGTCTCAGGGAAACCCCTCCGAGGACAGCGTAGATGCTCCGACATTTTATCATGTTCTTTCCCCTCTCAAAGTTCTCGAACCTGAAAGGTAATGATTTCATGGGGGGGAGGGGGGAGGGGGAGGGGAGGGAGAAGGAGACACTGGCTTCCCCCAGAGGCTGTGGTATTCACTTAGCAGTACCTTGGGACGCTAAATTCACATCACCCGGCCCTCGTAAAATGTAGCCTATCGTGATAATTCGTGATGGTTAAAAATGTGCTCATGGGATCACAGTCTTCGCAGACTGCATCAAGACCACTGAGGATGGTAGTGTCACAGTGTTAGGGATTTTGCCTTAGTAATGTACTTGTTTTGTTTTTGCTTAAGTATTTAATTTATGTCGTAAGACATTTCTCTTCAATGTTCTCTGAGTTCTTGGTCTTTAAACATACATTCAGAAGGCTATATAAGGTAAGACTGGAGTCAATAAATTAGATGAAAACGTTTGAATAGTCTATTGGATGAAAGTTATCAAAATTGTGACTGTCCACACCTGCGGGCACCAGCACACACAGGGTATGTTGACACTTAGGAAGGAATTAATTTCAGTCTCTTACTGCACGCAGGAGCCTGTGAAGAAGAGGGAGGATCTGCCTTAAGCTACTTACCTAGATTTTCACAGATGATAAATGTTGGGATTTAAATGTGTGAGACTCACAGTGGAAAGAAGTGTTAAATAATTTGGCTTATTTAAGAAGTGTTTTTGTTCTAGCATGTTGACTATGTGCCATACGGACAGAATTGAAGGGGTTGAATATCCTCTGACGCATTTGAAAAGGCTTAAGGGACTTGGTAACAAGAGTTTATGATTTATATTTTTGTTTATTTGAGAACCAGTCATGAGGGTTTATTAAAGTTACAGGAATATAATAATTCTTCATCTTCAATGCAGCTTCATTTACCTCTCATAGTTACTTCGCCAGTCTTTTGTTTCTTAAATTATAATGGCACCATTTAATATGTAATCACTATATTTTTTTATTGTGGATTCTATGTTTTAGTTTTATACTTGGGTTTACCCCTGGGTGGGATTCTTTGTAAACAATGAAGCATGTATATCAAAGTCCTCAAGAAACCAACCATTTGTTTGTTAGATTAGGATTGTATTTGTTACAAACTTTAGGTAAAAGATTAAGGTTTTTGTTTTACTAGTGCTTTGAGTATTTACTGTTGTTGTTGTTGTTGAACTGAGGATTGAATCCAGGGCCTTCGCCCTGAGCTGCATCTCTATTCTTTTTTATTTTGTATTTTTTTCTTATCTCTTGTTTTCATTTATTACAGTCTTTTTAAACATTTACTTGAGAGACAGTATAGCAGTAATTGATATAACAGTTTATAAGCTGATTATTTAGGCTTTTTAAAAATAGTACAGATTGCTGATAATCACAAACACTTTACTTGAATGTATAATAATTTAATAAAATATATTATTCTCTTTTTTCCATAGTTTTAATGAAACACAAATAGCAATGAGACAGTTTCAAACCAAATTGGTAGTACAGTTTCAATAATTAAGACGTTGCATACATTCTTCCTAGTGGTTATTTGCTGTACAAGATGCAGACATGATATCCTATTTACAAACACTATTAGAACAAATCCCTCATTCATTAAGAGAATGTAACTATATATCCTAACCATTTTGAATACACAGATACAAAATGGACATTCATCTGTATCCCCTTTTTTTGTTAAGTTCCATTATTTGAATATTATAGGTGTGTTAACTCAGTAAAATATTCTAAAAGAGTCCAGTAGTCCATAATAGTATTGGGTCTTCCTCTTCACTGGCAATGTCAGAAATTGTTGACCTGAGTCCCCTACAGCTCAACATAACAGCATGGCTTTACTTCTTATACTTCACTTTTATACTTTTCTGCTGAATGGTTAAGACCGATATAAAGCAAGACCTATGCAACAAGAGTTGTAGCTTTTGGATCTGATAAGGTCAGTGAAATCCCCTCAGGATTTATCCTGAGATCTTGTACCTCAGATTGTAGATCCTTTGTCAGTGTCAGCCATGTGGATGAGTCACGGCCATTGCATGGCCAATGTGCTCTCTGTGAAAGCCTGAGAGAATGTTTTCTCTCCATGTGACTCTCCTTAGGCACACTCTACATCATCGATCACTTTCTTCTTTGGCCCCATAATCTCCTTGATCAGAAAATTTGGGACACTACCAAGTTACGTGACGGTACAGTACAAGTTCTCATATGTCCTGAGTCTTAATTGACCTTAGAAGGCTAGGGCCAAAATGTTGGCTTTCCTTGTGGCCCTCCTTTTTCTCTAATTTTGGTCTGCAAATTTAGGTTGTTAACCCTCCAGAAGAGAAGCTTATTGTTATTACCATACAACCTAGGCTGTTAAGCTTACCCTCACTATCTGTCTGAATATCAAACATCTTAGGCATAACATGGAACAGGTATTTTTCATCAAGTAGTGATATGTTGAATTTTAAGACCCTACAGAATATGATAAAAAAATTTAAAAAATTAGAATATATTTTAAAAATAGGCATAAAGAATTATATAATTCTTATGTTTACACATAAGTCCAGAAATCTAACCATATACAACCTTGTAGCAGGAGACAGGAAAAGGAATGTTGCAGGACTGTCCTTATTTTCTATTTTGAGACAGATTCTGCTACCACCAAGTTGCTCACTGGGTTCTAACATACCATCTTCCTCCCTCAGTCTTACACATCTTAAAATAATAAATCTCAAGATCTTTGGTCTGCAAAGAAAGGTTTTTATATCTAGGCATTGTAAGTTTGAAAAATTGTATTATATATGTATTTTATGTTATAGTGAGTTTTAGTTTGTTACACATCATTCATTGTGTTTTTTAACTGGTATGTTGGTAGGCAGATAGATAGCCACAGAGATTAGCCTGCCTAATCTCAGCAGGCTGTGGTAAGCATTCTGAAATACTGAATTGGCTCCTCCAGTTTACCTCAAAGTACTATTGCCCTTGCTGGATGACATAGTGCACACTCATAATGTCAGCTGCTTGGGAGTTTGAGGCAAGAAAAGATCACAAATGGAAGGCCAGCCGGGATATCTTACACCCTGACTCAAAAAAACAAAGCAGGGCTGGGAACATAGCTCAGTAGCATAAGCGCCTGCCTGGCAAGTGCAAGGTCTTGAGTTTGATCCCTGGTACTGCATGCTGTGCTGACCCCAGGACCCCAGACACACTGTGCTAGCCCCCAAACCGGGCATGGTGGCACACACCTGTAATCCCAGCATAAGGGAGGCTGAGACAGGAGGATCACTACAAGTCTGAACTGAGTAGGGAGACCCTTATTTAAAAAAACAAAACAAAACAGCAACAACAAAAACCCACAAAAAGATCATGGTATAGCATACTGAGAGAGCACTTGACTACCATGCACAAGTCCCTGGGTTCACAGCAGTGCAATCAACTTTTAAAAAATTAAAAATGATTGCCCTCACCCTCTAATTAAGAAACTATAGAAGCATTACTTTTAGGACCTTTAAGAAGATCTGGGCTGGCAAGATAGCTCAGTGGACTAAGTGCCTGCTTAGGCAAGCACACAGGGACCTGGGTTCAATCCCCTGCACCACGTGCTTTGTCACCCCTATCCTGGATGTGCTGAGCAGGCCACTGAGACTGGGCATGGGGGTGCATGCCTGTAATCCCAGCATTGGGGATCCTGAAAACAGGAGGGTCACTACGAGTCCGAAATGGGTAGTGAAACCGTGTACCAAGTACATTTTAAAAAAAAATTTATTTTGTAGTTTTACTTCTTAAAAACTGAGAGAAATTACAATCCAATACTTTGGATTATAATATAATCAAAGTAATTATGAAATAGTATATACAATTTTATTTGAACATTGCAAATGTAAATAAACCTTGAAAAATGAGTCTTTTCATGTTCTAACAGTTTTAATAATTGGCAAGAGATGTGAGAAATCCTTTCTGAACATCATTCTTGTTATTTCCTTTTTAAGTCTCCTTGTAGATGATGATTTGGGAGTTGGGCACAAAGTGGAAGGGTTGTTATAAAGGTCTGCTTGTGAAATGTCTTGCCATTGTAAGTCTATTTTGGGAGGGATATAAATGTATGGTTATTTTGAAAGTTATGTGTTCTCTGTGTTAAATATCTTCAACATTAATCTCCATAATCCATTCTACTCCTAGCAAGGATTTAATGTATACTTTATCTTTCAAAATCTTACAGCAATTATTCTTTAACAGACTGAAAATGAATGAAAATAAAGATACTGATTCAAAAGAAAGTGGCGAATATGAAGATGACTTTGAAAAAGACCTCGAATGGTTAATTAATGAAAAAGAAATTGATGCCAGCATAATAGAGGTATATATGAATTGCTATGGCATTTATAATAATTACATTAAGAAAGTGCTTTGTAATATTGAAAGTTTTCACCTGTGTTTTATAATCCTCATAAAGTTTTTTTTTTGGTATAAATTGGACAGATACTACCCTCCTTATCTTAGAGGTGAGAGAATTGAGACATAGAGAGTTTAGATGTATTTCAAGATAGGGGGCTATCTGTTCATTTCATGTTAGTGTAACTGCTAACTTATCATCAAGCAAGATGATTTAAAACTATTTGTTGTCTGTATGTGTTAATTCTGGTTAAAGATAAAGCTTCATAATACTGTTTTTATTTAACATATTAACCAGCTATAGAACACAGACCTTTATCAGTAGCAGGCAAAGAAATTTTAAGACCGACTATAAAGTCATGTAATTTGAAAAAGTGTTTCCTTATGAAAGAGCTCAAGTTGCTTATAAAGCTAATCTGTAATTAAAAAATTTATAGATGTTCTTGAAAAATTAAGACATGAAACTAGTGCAAGAACAAGGATTTAGCATTTAGAGCTAAACTGATAATTATGATCTAAATAACATAAGAACTAATAAAATCATGATTTATTGATTGAAAGTAAAATGTTACAGTGAATTTCTACTGTCTTTGAATTTGCATAAATCATGGGATAACATTTTAATATAAGTGGAAGATAAAAGCAAATCCTTGAAAAACAATCTTTTAGCAGATAATTGAAACTTAGATTAAATAATTTCTCCAGAAGAATGAATACAGAGATAAAGTAAAAGGTCAAAGATTAAGCCATTAGATACTTCTAGGAAAAAGTGACCCATTAAACATGATTGTTTACTGTTTATCAGAAATATAGGATAATCCAGGAAAATGAACCAATTCCAAGATAATGGTTATGTTAGTATCGGTAAGTGGAGAAATAATGAAAAAAGCTAAGACTGGACTATGAATAGGTGGCCCTGAAGGATAGTGATCAGCAGTTTTTACAAACTCCTCTTATTTCCATTTTGCTTTTTTATGCAGTGCAGAAGACATTTGGAAAGGGCAACAGACTCAAAGGTGAAAGTTTTTTAACATGGACTTGAAAAAGAAATTTCATGTCTCTGTGTAGAAATAACTCCTCATGAGTGGAGGCAGAGATATACCCAGTGAAAGGCTGAGCCCAGATCTCATGATAGGAGTGGTGTGAGAGCCACAGCATGGTGACAGAATCAGAGGCAGTGATTGCCAGGCCAGATCGTGTATAGAGAAGCAGTGGCCATGAGCAGCAAAAGGAATTTACCCACAGATTAAGGATATGAAGAAGACAAGGCATTCATTTAGATCACTAGGCACACTGTCAAGAGGGGCAGTGAGTGAGTTTCCAAAAGGATCAGCACAAGTAGGGTGAGAGATTGGCATCTTTATTAGGGAATAAAGATGTAAGAAAGGGGCTGAGCTGGCCAATGCAACTGTTTTAGAAATGCATTTTCCAGGGCATCCTGGTCCTTGTTAAGTTTTGAGGACCATCTATATTGTAACTAAAGTTGCAAACTGGTGAGGCCTCCCTCAGGATTCACAAAAGGCCATTAGACCTTAGATAAGCACATGTGTATGTTTGGGAAAGCTGTAACCTTAGCTCAGGGGAAGAAGAAAGTTTTGGTATTTACTTTATGCTTGTGCTGTTTCAGTCCTCCCTCAGTGCAGCGCCTCACAACCGTGCAGGTTGTGCTGGGCAGAAGTAAGTGTGTTGTCAAAGAAGTTGGGGCACCGATAGTTTTAACCTTCTTCTCACCATAATAACAGTGATTCTTAGATTGACTTTTCAATTCACTCAACAAGTGTAATGAGCCTCTCCTGTATATCACAGGCTATTCTAGGTGCCAAGGATAGGCTAGGGATTTAAAAAAACAGTGCTTGGGCCAGAGATATAGCTCAGCAGCACAGTGCTTGCCTGGGAAGTGTGACGCTGAGTTCAATTCCTGGTAAATAAATAAATGCCACAAAGTGCTTTCTTGAATCTTCTGTATTCTAGTGCATAAGTGTAATAACTATTTCCTTTGAAGCTAGAGAGAATAGATGACAGAGTTTGAAACAAGAGAACCGGGGAAGATTTCTTTGTAATAGATGAGTTTTAAAAAGAAAAAAGAGAAAGCCGAAGGAGAATTCATAGATCTATACTGAAGAAATGAACCAGAGAATCAAGGATTTAAAATTAAAAAGCAGTGCAAAGACTGTAATTAAGTTGTTATTTGGCATTTTATTTATTTATTTATTTATTTATTTATTTATTTATTTATTTTTGCGGTCGTGGGGATTGAACTCAGGACCTTACGCTTGCCAGGCAAGCGCTTATTCTACCGAGCTATCTCCCCAGCCCTTGGCATTCATTTTAATGGACCAAGTTTATTTGCTGATGAGTTATCTAGCATGTTTTTCCAGGATAGGGAGAAAAGGCTGTCAGAGAAGATGACCTGAGTACAAATAAAGGAAGACTTCAATTTTAAGAAGTTGAAATGAACAGCATATGGTAGCTTCTGTAGAACTGCGTTAGGAGATTTGAAAAAATTACATATTGCAGGGATAAAATATAATGTAAATGAAATTGTGTGTGTATGAGAGAGATGCTTAAAGGATCCTGTAGTTAGAATCAACAGAGTGGAGCAGAGTTTTGTGATGCATAAGGTTTGTGGAATTAAATTTTTTTAATGTAAGGTTATAAAGTATTTGATGGTGGTTAGTATGGATAATGGAAGCCTCTGAGGATAGTTGAGGAAGGAAGATCTGACCAAGATGTAACAGCTTACCTAGCACCTAGGTCTTTCAGATGCTAGCCACCATCCCAGTTCTAAAATAAGTCTTTTAATCTTTTTTTTTTTTTTATTTTTTTTTATTTTAGGGAAGGGTCTACAGGGTGTTAAGGGTTTCACTGCTAGATTAGACTCCTAGTGATCTACCTGTTTATAGCCTCCCAAGTGCTGGGATTACAGGCACGCACCACCACACCCAGTCTCAATGGCCATCTCAGTGTGCCCCGGGGTTGGAGCTGGCACGGCAGGCCTGGATCGAACCCCTAGCCCCTGCGCCTGCTTGCAGGCACTTTAACCCACTGAGCTATTTGGCCCACCTCTTTTTAATCATTTTTAACCTCGAATGATTAGGACTTGACCTTGTAATAATATGGGGAGGAAGGTGTGTTTTAGGAGAACACAGATGTTACAAGGAGGAAGCATTTTATAAAATTATTCTGAAAGTATAAAAGAATGAAAATTTAGCAGGGAGCAAAATATTAAAACAATATAGTATTATTTATAGTTTTTAATGCATTAGCACAAAATTGTTTTTTAAAAAATAAGTGTAGTACTTGGCAATGTCAAATTCATAGGTAGAGTTACATTTTCCCAATCAGAATATTATAAGTGCAGTATGAGCAAGAAGCTCTTAGGATGTGTCCATCTTTAAGTTAAACTACATGAACAGGAAAGCTGTACTTGTGATAATCTATTAAGTGAACAGTCTCAATTTTACTGAAAAGTAAAACCTCATTTTTTTAAGATGGCTTATGAGAAGGAAGAGAATATTAATCAGCAATTAAAAGAAGATGAAACAGAAATAGAACACATGAAACAGCTTTCTGAATTTCATAAATCTTTGAAGGATGAAGTTTCATCAAGAAGAAATAACATCATTTCTGTACCAAGTATTCAGTCTTTGGATCGCATATCAGATTCAGATAGTGATAACTCTTTTCAGGAATCCAAACTAGAAAGTCAGAAAGACCTGGAGGAGGAAGAAGATGAGGAAGTAAGCAGATATATTAAGGAAAAAATTATACAAGCTAACAAGCTTCTACAGACCCAAGAACCTGTGGATGATAAAAGGGAGCGAAAACTTAAGTTCAAGGAAAAATTAGTCGATCTGGAGGTTCCTCCACTGGAAGACAATGATACGTACAAAAATTATTTTGAAAATGAAAATAATATGTCTGGAAAACTGTCACAGTTATGTATTTCCAGTGAGTTAGGACAAGAAAATGTACTCCTGTCACTTACTGATGGATGCCTAGAAGAAAACAAGGATATGAAGATACTGGTAGAGAGAGATGGAAAGTTTGAGCTTGTGAATTTACAAGACATTGAAAGCCAGGGGTCTTTGCCCACCATCAGTAATGCTAACAGTACAGAAAATGAACCTCAGCAGTTGTTACTCAAATCATCCAACTCATCTGTCAGTGGTGTCAAGAAAGAAGAGCCTACTGCAAAGATTCACATTACTCAGTCATCAACAGGAGAGCCAGTGGGGTACATCCCTCAGCCACCACCCAACCCCAAGACTCATCCACGCTCTGCTGCCGCCCCAGATCAAAGTAAAGGAAATGGGAAATCTCATCATCAGACACAGTCTGCTAATATGTCACCAGTGACCTCAACATACTATCTTTCCCTTCAACAGAAAGAACTCCAGAAACAGCTAGAAAAGAAGAGAGAAAAGCTTAAGAGAGAGGTAAGAACACAGTGGGTACTGTAATGAAAGTAGAGTATGAGTCAGGTGTGGGCTCCTGGAGGCATGCATCTAGATTTCAGAAGAAAGCTTAGAAGGCCAGGTTGTGTCCCCTGAGGGCAGTATGTGAAACTGAGGGTAAAACTGTAGAATGGGGCTCCAAGAAATTGGGGAAACCAACTGAAGCTGTGAGCCAAAAGAAGCCTTTCTTCCTTTCTGTAGAGGTGTCTGTGTGATATTGTGTCTCTGAGGCAACAAGGTGACTAAACAACTTCCCTTTTAAATTTTTCCCCCCAGGCACATTAGAAGTCCTGCTGTGGGGGCTGGGTCTAGGGCTTTTATCCAGGACCTTTTTACTGAGCTATATCCCCAATCTTCTTTATGTTGAGGCAGTTTCTCAATAATGCACTGAGTTGCCCAGTATGGGCTACACAATCTGCCGTCCTATCCAGAATTCTGGAATCACAAACCTGTACTACCATACCTGATGTAGAGTTCTCTCTCTCTCTCTCTCTCTCTCTCTCTCTCTCTCTCTCTTCCTGTTTTCTAAAGAGGAAAAATTTTCAGGTGAAAGATTTCAGAACAGAAAGTCTTAATTTTTTACTTACAGCTCCATTCTGATAGCTCATATACAATATTATTTAATTTTTCATTAATGTCTTTTCATACTCTTTCCATTAGGAAGAACAACGAAAAATAGAAGAAGACAAACAAAAGAAAAAAGAGAATGACATGGTTTTCAAAGCTTGGTTGCAAAAAAAAAGAGAGAAAGTTATAGAAATGAGGAGAATCCAGCGAGCTAAGCAAATTGAGGACATGAACAGCAGAGTGAGTGTAACTTGTCCATGAACGATAAGTCCATATAGTTCTTAAAACTAATCTTATTCACAGAAAGAAGTCTGTACATATCAGACTGAGAGCCTATGGAAGAAGTAGAAAAAGGGTTTGAGGATATTCCTCGGAGAAGAGCAATGGCAGATGACTTTAGCACTAACTTCTAAGAAGCTCTGTCAAATCAACTGATTTATACTTTATTCAGGTTTTCATAGCCCAGAAAATAGAAAACTACCAATTCATTTTTTCAAGATAACCACTTTGATGTTCAGATAAGACAAAGGTACACACAAAAACACACATTGGCTTTTCTCATTTTAGAGTAAACATACAGAAATCTTACATTAAAGATAGCAAGTTGCAGATACCAAGTTAATTCTTAACATTCTATCATTTCATTTGAAACAGAAAATCCAGGAGAAAATAAAAACTTATCTGTATCAAAACTAGTTCACAGGACCAGACTGATAGCTCAGCAGAGTAAAGCACCTGCTTAGGCCGAGCACAGCGGCCGGCCAGGATTCAACCCCTGCCATGCCCTGCCAGCCCTGCCCATGGGGCTTTGCACTGAGACAGTGGTTGAGACTGGGCATGGTAGGGCGCCTGTAATCCCAGCACTTGGGAGCGTGAAAACAGGAGAATCACTATGATTCCGATCTACGTAGTGAGACCCTGTAGATCCTATAGACTCTTTCCTAAATACAAAGCAAACAAACAAAAAAACCTAATTCACTATGTATATAGAGAGGAAAAATTGAAAATTCATTCCACAGCTCTACAGACCCATCTCTAGTGATAACCAGTTTTAATGGCGTAATGCAAATCCATTCATACCTTTTAGCCATTTATATGCCTAGAATTTTATTATGTTGTATTTTTCTAATTCATCATGGGTATTCCTTCTAGGCTATTATATTCCAGTCTCTTTTTTCTTTTTAAAAACATACATGATGTGCCATTATTAATCTACTAAACAATTCCCCCACTTACAGATATTTAGATAGGTTCCAGTATTATGCTATCAATAATGTAGCAATGAAGATGTATATGCTTTGGGAAGCATCAGTAATCTGTAGATTCTTAAGAGTAAAATTTATGACTTTTGAATGTGTAGAGGGAAATTTTTGGTTGAATAAGCAAAATTTATTATACCAATTATAGTCCCTCCAAAAATGCACGACAGTACATTCACTTACACTCTTGCTAACACTGTGATTTGTCTCACTTTTTCTTCAAATTAATAATACACATGCGTATATAGGAGAGTGGATTTTCATATGTTTGTGAAATAATAAGCAATGCACATTTATTCTCTAGTTCTAGAGAACACCTAAGTTCCTGTAATTTTTTTTAACAATAGGGATGTTAGGTATATCTGTGAAATAGTTCATCTTTGGTTCTTGCCCTAATATGAAACTCTGAATCTCTTAAAATTTCTCAAGTGATGAGATGGCCTTTTTTGTTTAAACGAGGTGACTCTTGGTGGGCTTCTGAGTGGGCCACCAGTAGGACTAAGCCAGGATTAGAATCTTGGAACTTTCAGCTCTAGCCCCATCATCTGGGAAAGGGAAAGACAGTAGAAGCGATCACACACATGCTGCAGCTGGCTCTTACTGAAAGTTCTGAAAGTTTCACTGTCCCTGGGATACAGACTGAGTTACTAATTGATCATGACTATACTCTGAAGCCTTCATGGGAATCCCTGACCTGTGAGTTTGGGAGAACTTCTGGGCTGATAAACACGTGAAGGTACTTCAAGAGTGGTGTAACCCAGGGAGGGCAAGGAAGCCTCAAGCCTCTTCTTTGTATAGCTACATATCTATAGCCTTTGTTATATTCTTCACTAGTATAAGAAAGTTGCCTGTGAGTTCTCAGAGTTGCTTTACAAGATTAATTGAATCTAAGGAGAAGGTCATGGTGGCGTACTACACCTGCAATATTGGCGCTTTAGGAGGCTGAGACAGAAGAATTATGAGCTCAAGGCTAGTTTGGGCTTCATAGCCAGTTCAAGGCTGATCTGGATTATATAGTGAGATCCTGTCTAAAAGAAAAGCTGATTAGAATTTTTAAACTGTTATAGTTGTTAATGTTATTTTTAGTAATTCTATTATTAGAACAAAATTTTTCAGTTTCCCAATTTAAAAAATGGGCAAAGGATGTAAATTATAAGTCCACATATAAACAAATATAAATGGATGTTGTATATGAGAAAAAGATGTACAATTTCTAGAGTCAAAGAGATACCAATTAAACATTTTTCATGGATCCAGTAAACATTATTAATTGTGTATTATATGACAGGTACTGTCTCACACACAGAAGTATAGTCTCATTCAAAATATGGCTGATCTTTGTCCTACTCAGGTTATGCAATAGTGTTGAAACTCTTAAAAAATTTTTAAAAAATTTAAATTTAGTTTTTTATATGTAAAATAAAATGTTAATCATAAATAATAATGAATTCTATGAGAAAAAGAACTATGAGAAATCATAATGAGGGAAAGAAATGTATATTGTTGGAATGTATATTCTTAGTTCAAGAAAGGCTTTTCTGAGCTAGCAAAAGTTGGAGTAGAAAATAAAAGTGGAAATCAGGCCACAAATGAGAGGACTACGTCAATCCAACTGAACATGTGACAAGAAATACTCGGTGATATGAAGAGATCTGGAAAGTCCGCTGTAACAGGGGTTTCGTATTACCCTACCATGGGAAGCCATTGAAATAAGTTAAACAAAGTGTAGCACATTATATACACATTTCCACACAGTTACTTTGAGTGTTATGCCCTGTATGAATTGGAGGAATCCCAAGTAGACACAGGAGAGCACTTAGAAATCATATTTAGTGGTTTGGCTGAGAAATGATGATGATTAGGTGAAAGGTATAGCAGTAGGGGCAGACATTTGAAATGTTTGATGAATTCACTGAAGGAACGTGATGATAGTGTAAATAATGCGGTTGAGGGAGAAGATATAAAAAGAATACCCCAGTTTTACTGTTGAGCTAGTTGGTCATTCCTTGGAGCAGTAAAGAAGATATTGATAGAGGAGCATTATTTTAGTTTTTAAATTGTTGATTTTGATGTACCTACAAAATACCCACGTGACAATGGTTTATACTGAACTGGAACAATTTGTCTAGTGATAAGAAGATTGAGAGATTAATAACTTCAGAGATGAACTGGTTAGGGGATGGGAATGTAGTTAGAGAAGTGGGTGGCAAGTGTTGTGGAGAGTCATGGAAAGATAAGCCAGGCAGAGACCCGTGAGGTTGGATGTGGATTGGCTCACCTGTGTTGAATGGCTCATACATGCTACTTGGGAATATGACAAACACAAGAACTGGCTCAGAGTGACCAGAGCTTGTGATATTACCAATTTTAATAGAGTCAAATGGTATAAACATTAAAGGAAGACTGGTCTATTTAGAAGCAGAGAGGGATACACTTTGGAAAGAGATATGAGGGAAGGAAGGAAAGTTAATATGAACTTCTTTGCCTGGCTTCTGAAGTACTTCAAGTATGCCAGAAAATGTAGCTTCTATTTGAGAAAATAAGCTAACTTGGGAATGAATTAAAGTTAGCATAAGATAGGAGGTTGAAGACCAGGGGCTGGAGGATATTTGACAAGATTTATGAGAGAGGGAACTCAGAGTTGCATAGAGGAATAACACCACATTGCTGTAATGATCAGTTAGTAAGGGCATAAAAGGCAAGAAGAGTTTTTGTTTCAATCAATAATCGAGGAAAACACAGCTGTAGCCATACACCTATTAGCTTTCAGGAGGCTGGTCGATGGGCCTTCAACCCCTATAGCATTCATTCTAATATAACGTTTAATCAGGTATTTGTGAAAAGAATATTTTAGGATGCTTTTGTGTGCTCTATTTGTAAATAATAAATATTAACCTTTAATGGTAGTCTCTGAAAACATTAGCTATATGGAATGAAGCTTATATCAAATTGCTTTGTGTAAGAAAACATAATGGCTATGTATTTTTTCCTTTGTAATTTCTGTTTTTCATTTTGCTACAGGTCAAGTCTCACAAATTGATTTTAATGAGGAATCATATCAAACTAATAGAATGTTGATGTGATTTTATGAGCTTCATTTTTACTGAAGCTTTGGAAGTTGATTAATTTGGCCTTTAAGATACTCTGCCAATAAATATATTTGGTTAATTATTTCTGTGGGACATTGTACATAATGTGAGTCATAGTTTCCAGAAAATATCTTCTGTATATACAGATTATAGAATGACCTATTTTACTTTAATGAAAGAAAGATGTTAGGTGATGGAATTTTTATTACTCTCTTAAGAAAAATAGCTAAAAATGTCTTTCCTTTCTTCTTCTGATACTAGGGACTGAACTCAGGACTCTTTCTAATGAGCTATAAGGTGTGATCAAAAACTATGGTGAATGTTGAAATTTTAAAAATTACTACAGTGAAAAATATAATGCCACAAACCCCACCCCATGCCCAGTACTCTTCTTTTTGAACATGCTTATTCTATCATACTTGTCAGTCCCTGAACCAGTTCTGGAAGTCTTCTTTTGAGTGTCTTTAGTTGCATTGTCATGACTACCTGGATATCCAGGCAGGTGAACACATAGAAGTCCCAATGTGTCAGATCCAGTGAAGAAAGTGGATGAGGACACACTGTAACTTCTTCTGAGCCTGCCTTCCCTTTGGATGAGAACACATCCCGTCTTCATGAGCCTGCCTTTCCGTGGGCCGGCACTTGGTAGCAGCATTTTCTGTGTTTTTGATCAGACCTTATAATGATACAAAGGGACTTTCATAACTGCTTCAAAAAGTGGCAAGAGAGATAGATACATGTATTCAAAGCAAAGGAGAGTATTCTGAGGGGAACCTGTGTGTCTTTGTAATACATTTCAAAACTTCAATAGTCAGTGTCTATTCTGATTAGAGCTGTGGATGCCCAGATCTTTTGTTACTTTTTGAGAGAGGGTCTTGGCTAAGTCTCCCAG